TAATTCATACAATCTCCCTTTCTTCCAAATATGGAAAAAACTAGTAATCAAGGAACGTTGAAAGAATAGTGGTTTTTTTTTGTTAGATCCTGTTGTCCAATAGAGAAAAACGTCATGTTTTCAGACGTCAAAGAATCCCGGTTTTGTTGACAATTGAGGCTTTTCCAGCAAGATTTATAACAGGACAAAAAGCGAAGCATATACTAAGATATGGTACATAAGAGTTTTATCTTGTCGTGAGATATATGCTTATTCAAGTCGATCCAAGATAAGTATCCCTGGATTCCATAATCTTTCAAAACAAAATATTTCTTGTGTCGTCTAAAAATGTAGATTGAATCAATACGTTAAGAGTAACGGTCTTGGAAGAGTTTGCAACTGACGAATATTTATTAAACCAATTGCGTGAGTTTTTGATATAGGATTTTTTAATTCTGCGTACTTTTGTTGTATGAGTGTAAGGTAGAAGTGTATTATAATAAAGTCCATTTTACGAATCTGTAATTCTGTTTTCTTGGAATTTTGTAGCTTCTAAAATATGAAAAAATACGTCTCCCGTTTTTTTCTCTCCATCTATATTCTGCCATCTGTCAACGTTTTTATTAGATAATAAGCATTCACGTTCGGTAGAAGTAACTAACAGAAACTTTTCTGTGGTTAAGTTGCAATCTTAAGATCACTAGAAATTTAAGATTGGCATCAACTGTCTAATTTTCTAATTCAAATGTCAAATATGAATTGTGTGGAAAAAACGAAGTTTTTCTGATTTCAACACGCTTCGTTTCTAGAAAATCCTTAAATACAGCGTGGAAACAGTTTCCATAAAAGTAATCACGAGAAAACTCATTTTAAAGGAAAAGAAACAAGAAATATTTCGTGGTTTTCAAAAAATTGGGTAAAACGGAAACAGTTAAACTGGTGGCAGAAATATTCTCCGTAAAGTTCGCTAGTGTTGTCGAGTGTTTTTCCAATTTTAAAATAATACAGATACAGCGGCGCTTGTGCCGTTAATATTATAATCAGAATCAGAAAGACGACTGCGCAGATTTATATACCTACATGCTTTGTTGGTTCCGTTCTACAATTGGTTTTTAAGTTTTATATAATCGTTATTGTTTTGTAAGAGGTAAAACACTTGGCTTTGAAAATAATTGTACATATTACACGTATAAATTTAGGTTTCCGAAGGCGAAGTTTTTCACATTTTAAACACGTTATAGCTGCCAGAATCAAATTTCTAAGGCGGTACCTATCTCCAATTGCGTGATTGTGGTGAAGATTTACTTTTCATTTTCTTGAATAAGACATGGATATACCAGAACGGATCCATGGTGAAATTGTGGATCCATGATGATGACATCAAAGCTTGTCCTCCTAAAAAAACTAGTGAAGGGAAAAGATTCAAAATTTTACATGCGGGTTGCTCTTTGGGCTTTTAGAGGGATGCGATTTTCTCCTTGGTTCAAAAATAGATTCACCAGATTACCACAAAACCATCACATTTTCGATATTTGACCTTTACTTACTTACATGTCACATTTTTGATAGCTACTTTCTGACATTCCAGTAATACATTATACACTAGAACAATTATGTCCGCAGTTACAGAGCTTAAAAAAAAAGTTACCAAATCTAGTTACATCTACCGAACGTGAATTCCTTATAGATAATGCTAGAAATTACTCAACTGACTGCTGTAAAATTTTAGATTCATTTTAAAAACATTACGTAGATGGTAAATTACTAACCAAAATTTGTCTAATTACCCCCACCAAAAATTTGATTGACTTCAAATTTTGCCAAATAAATCCTCTTTTAATATGTGCAAACTACTATATTCCTATGCTTCCTATGTTTTAGTCCCTGTAGATTTATAACCGTGTAGATTGATTTGGAAAAATTCAAAATGGTACAACAAAATACTACTGGACTTGGAACCTACAAAGGGTTGTTGTGATAATTTTCACGTTTTAAGGTTGTTGTGAACGTGGTAAATCATTAATCACAAGCTCATCTATTCATCGCTTTCAAAAATTTAATGACGTCATCTCAGAGTTGTTATGTAAATATTGTTTGAAGTGCTACTGAATTTGTGGTTTAATAGTGTATGCATTTTTTTACTGACACGTATTACGAATTATGGCAGAAAATAAAACTTGTATATAAGCAAATTGTACAATTATTAAGAGAAAGTAGGGACGCCATTGCCAAAATCTATGAAATAAATGTTCGTTAAACACGTGCTTAAAAATATGACCTTGTTTGTGTTTTAGTAATCCGTTTTTATTTCTTGCAGTTGTTTATACAGGATGTTTAAAAAAGCGAACAAATGAAGCCCGCTTTATGTAGTTTTCACAAAATTCTGAAAACAGTACTCTTTTTATTAGCATTACACTGTACATATCAAAGCTTCCTACTAAGAAGTTGGTGACGTCATCCCGTAATTTTGTTAAGAAGATTTTGCTGCAGCATAACATGCTACATTTTTTATTAAAATATTCTGTCAAAGTAATCTGCATAAAAATAAGCTTCAAGCTTTTGGGGGCTAAAAAAAATGCTGTCTAAACTCTAGTTCAATTTGTGTGTTTTCCCCCTTTTTTCGGTAAGTTTCTTCAACAAATACATTGAACCTTTCGAAAAAACCCAACATCTTACAATGCGGTGCAACAATCTGTGAAGTTGTTTACACAGAACATTTCTAGCGTTTAAAGCTTAAGAAATGTTGTATAATATATGATTTGATTTAAAAATTGCGTCATTAGCTGTTTGATAGGAATTGGATAGTCGCAGAAATTATTTGCTCAATCAAATCGTAGTCACTATTTTGCATACTTATTTTTCGTCGTCTCTAGTTTTGTGCTCTTTTATGATACTTCTGTTTTGTGTTATAGTTTTTTGGCTATACTTCAAGTCTTCTGCCATTAAAACCTGTGCCTCGACGTCCTGTGATCAATGCTATCACTTTCCAATTTTAGTTCAGTGTATTACGCTAAAGTCGTACAGACTTTTTGTATATTGTATCTGAATTTCTGTCTTCCTACAACCTCTACACTGTACACATCTTATGTATTGATTTTCTGATTTAATCTTGTAAAAGAAATCCTTTATTTATGGCTCATTCTGATATGGTCGTAGCTGTATATATTTTTGTTTCTGTTCCTTATACTATTTTATTATTACGATATTCACATTCTTTCTTTTTTTAACTCATTTAAGAAATATTCTTTTAATAGTACAGCATCCATGTGTCATCTAATTTTACAAAAGTTGATCAACAAAAAATTAAGGGTACACAATGACCATCACAAAATTCATGTAAACGTTGATAATAAAATTGTAGTACAACCATTTTTAATGTAGTCCGTTTTGCTTTGTTGAATTTTTTTGTTTCTCGAGAATCGATACATCAATCTAACAATGTCGATTTGGCAAAAGTATTTAAGTTACTTAGAAAAGGGCACAAAGTTTCATTTTACGTATGCGAATATATTTGAATGTGTGCCGTTAAAGAAAATCCATCGCTTTCACTCCAGAGACACATTTATTAGCATCCAACAACAACGCATGATCATCTAGATTGTACACCACGAAGGAAATGGGCACATCAATCTTTCAGTATCGATAGTTACTTATCCTAATTATCATCTCAGATGCATACAAATCTTGGATGGATGCAAACTTGGTATGATTTATTACCATTATAAAACCATTAGGTCTAAGTACATTCAGTATTCGATTTTATCTGTTTCACGAATGCAACGGAGTGAGACGAGGCGTCACAGTCACACAAATTCAGCTGTAATTTACAGCCAACCTTGAGCCGTGGGCTATAATCGGAATACTGTAACATTGACTCGGATACTGCCTCGGATGCACTTTCAATTTGCCAGGAAGAGTACATTTAGTTTTGCCATCGCCAATTTTAACCCGTGTCATTATTGTTTCAAGCGGATGAACAAGTTTGTGACAGTATGTGCGCTTAATGTTAATGAGTCAAAATTCTTGACTAATGGGATATGTTATCTAGTAGGTTTTCAACGTTTTGTGTTCACATTTTTATTAAATGCCGTCACTCTAACAAAAGAGGTGAAAATATTTCTGTTACGAAAGAACAAACCTTTTTTGGTGTCAATTTTAGGTATTCGGTCATTCCAACATTGTTGCGTTGTGGTGGTGTTATAATTAAACAGTAACTATAATTGGTTCCTGTAACTATTGGTTTTCGACAGATACTTTTTCCCTTAATCAGTGTTATTTATTGAAAAGAAAAAGGTTATTTAGCGTGACCAAAAACAGTATTCGCCTTAAGGAGCTTGCTTTAATTCAATGTTGTGTAACGAGTATGTGTACATACAGACGTTTGTATTTATTTTTGTTTTTTTAACATTTGTACAAGAATATACTTCTTTTTCCCAACTCAAAGAACCGTAGAGAATTAAAATATGAAAGATTAACACACAATAAGACCTTTTTTTTTAATTTTTATTTGCCAATAAGTTTTTTACGTTAAAGATCACTGAGAAGAGTTAAAGCAGTGTGTTGTATAATGATTCCGTTGTTACGAGTAGAAATTTTGCAGTATTAGACATTATACTTTTCATAGGACCAACATTTTGTTGAATTACACTTCATTTGCTATTAAAAAGCACCCATGTGTGTATACGTTTTTTAGTTAATTATAGCACAGTGAATTATTGCTCCTTGAGTTTTTATCATCTGGAGAGTACTCCTCCTATAGAACGGTAAAATACGTAAAGTAATATTATTATTTACATTATCAGTGTGGTTTTATCATTCTGGATATCGTTTTGTGATATTTTTTACAATGATCTCAGTAGTGTGTTTACATAATTCTTCCAAGATAACTAGTTGATATTTACTTTAGACTATTAACAACGCAATGGGATGCTTAAATATTCAAAAATGTGCTTTTTTTGAATTTTTATAATATCCAATTTTTATGTTAATATGCATTACTAATCTAATAATCTTTGTTTCAGGTATGTCATAAGTCGTCAGAACATGCTACACTTCTATAGGCAAAGGAAAGTGGTTAGTTAAATTAATTTTGATTTATTAAATAATTCACACCTGAGATATCCATTTTAATTTATTAATAGATTTCGTTGGAAAAAATGTACTTGGCTTAGCGAGTGATTTTAATGTAGTAATTTGTTGATGTTAAATTCACATTACACAAGTTTACTTTAATCAAGGCTATAAAACCAATTAACAGATAAATATTTTACTATGTTCGTAAGATTTGGTATAATATTATTATTATTATAAGACTTATATTAAAGTATCCTCTATCTGATAGCAAATAAATTGCAGTCATAAATCATTGTTTTTTTTTTATTTGCTAAAAACAACACAACTTCAATTTACACAGGCGAAGCATACCGGTTATTAGTTGCAGATTATTGGATTTTCGAGTGTTCTTCTAGTTATTTTTAAAAACGTTTCAGTTTCGCGTGTATGACTTTAGGTTCAGGTTCGTTTCCCACGTTACATGTATTGGGTGTGTACGGTGCCCGAAGATATAATTTAAGTACAGTTATGCGACAATGAATAAGGTATTCTCTTGGTGTGGATATAATTAACCCCAGGCGAACGGGGCAAATAATAAATAGATTTTAGAACTTCATATAACAAGGGGGAAGAGACAGAAGTAGATTGCTGAAACGTTTTGTAACGTGTACGAATTATTAATTAAAAATTTATTTATATACATGTTTCTTTATTTTCTGGAAGTTTTTTTTTAATTTACCTTTATTAATACATTTATTATACAACGTTTTATCCACTCTTTTGGTAGGTAGTAAAAACTGGTACAGAGTAATTTTAGATAAGCAAATTTGAAAATTGTATTCATAGATTTTTTCGATATTGTGTTTATGTCGGTCGTTTTTGGTGGTGATTTGTGATTTTCGTAAACTAGTAACCTCTTAATTGTGAAATGTCGCTTAAAACCACCTTGCTCATCATCTAAGTAAGTCTGGTGCTATAAAGTCCTTTATTTCGATCACTGGAAAAACGTGTAGCAGCCACTTAATTAACTTAAGGATGTTTAACCCTTGGCTTGAAACGTAAAGCTCACTTAATTATATGTAACCGTATATATGGTGTTTTGAGGTTAATCTTCCCTTATCCTTACATCCTAACGAATGCCGGATTGAAATTAAGCTAAAACAAATAAATGCAGAATTTGTATCTAATTTACTAATGGAGAAAGTAATACAGGGAATAAAGAGAGCTACTATATTTTGTTTGACGTATTACTTACAAGTTATTATAACATTGACAACTCCTCACTTTACTTACATCATGATATTAAAGTTAAAAAGAGCGGAAGTTAATTATATTTATTACAATGTACTGAGTGTTCACATAAATTTGGACACGCCGTTTTTACAGATAGAATACTGTTGTTCATACTTTATTGTTAGTAATGCATGGTCATAGAACAGCAGTTTCCGTTTGAACATGAATCGCATGCATGTCAAAACTGTCAAGGATTAAAACACCTAAGGCATTGTGGTTATTGATAGCCACCAGGGATTTCACATTTGTATAGATAAAGAGACACACGAACTTGCATTGATTTTCCCTCTTCTCAGTGCATCTTCTTGAAAGATCTGCACAGTTGGTACGCTCCTTGCTAAGAGTGTTAAAAAAATCTATGTGTCAAGGTTTCTGTTTTATCTGAAGTTCTTCGGTGTACAAATCGAGGATACCGAAAACAGTGATTTGTTTCTAGACCATTTGGGCTACAACTACAACTACAAAAAATTCAATTAATGATACAATATTGCTGAATAGATCGCCTACTCTATTTAATGATCAAGTCCCGGAATTTTTAAGTGATGACTAGATAGGCCACTAGTGGTCAGAATCTGGCCACATTAATAATTTACACAATGAAAACAAACTGCATAGATTTCAAACGTATGACTGGAGAGACAGATATAGACACTACAACCAAAAATTTCAGTCACAAATTATAATATACTCCGTTTCGAAAAGATGGAGTTGTGAAGGTGCGTGATCTTTCTAAACCCCAAGGGATATCGGTAGATCGTTTCCACGCAGCAAAGTATTAACACATACCTACTTTTATTAAGTTGAATTTGGATGTTAAATGGTCCATTGGTTTACCACAAAACTTGCCACTTCAAATTAATGTAAAAATGTAAAATTTTTATTAAGTGATAAAAATATCCGCAATGATAGTATGATTCGTCCCACTGGATACCATATAATAATTCATTTCAACTGAAATGTCATGAAATAAATTTACAGTTAATTAAAGGTTCCTTTATAATATTTAGATTTTGATTATCTCAGAATCCGATGAGAAGAAGTGAGGGAAAGACATGAGAATTTGTTTGGCACTTCCTTCTCCTTCTTGTGAGAAAGATGTTGGATCACGCCTTATCTAGTTCCAAAAACAAGGAACATATAATGTATTTATAAACAGGCAAAAACATTTTCAAACATCTCGCTGCATTTCTTTATACGTTCAATTTCACTTTGTTAGCACGTGATCACTCTATCTGTTCGGTAAACGGACTATAGTAATGTACAAATTTCCACAAGGTTCACTTTTCGAGTAAGCAGCATGTTCGGATGTAAGTGAACATTCACTAAGTGCTCTAAATTCTCCAATAGATATCAAAATTCTGTCTAAACAATTAGTTAATCCTTTCTTATTTCTTTTTAGCTTTTTGTGAAATTGTACTGTATTACGAATTGTACTTTAAACTTTTCCCCAATTTTAATACACTAAATACAACTCGTAAAAATATTGTATTATGTTCCATTGCGTGTTTTAAAAACAAAAAGGAACTATGATATATACCTACCAAAGACGAGAATATTTTTTTACTTTGTCGCTGTGCTAGTGTTGATTCATGTGCCATTAAATCGTTAAGTGTGATGTTAGAATCAGCTTGAACTGAACGTAACTTCGATTTATTGACAAATGATAAAAATACCAATCTGAACCAGAAAGGTACGAATAATAGTTTTCAGTAACTCAAAACCCTTTCGCCTTAACTTTGTTATCATTTAAGAATAAAGTAGAAATACCAGAAACACTTTGAATAATTTAAAATTGCATATTTTTCGATAATTGCATCTACAATTCGTCAAACTATATAGAGTGAGAAAACTTTCTGTGCATTCAAATTCCTATACCATGCGTATTTGTAATTTTTTATGCGTTCGATATTCTTTCTGTATAATTTACGTGGAAATCAATAAAATTCTTGAATATTTCAAATGATTATTTTTACTTTTGACTTGCCATTTAAACGCAGGTTTTATTAATGTCGATCACGTTTTCATGCGTTATTCTACAAAGTTCTGAAGCAACTGAAACTAAAAGTCTTCAGAGAGAGTTGAAATAATCAACTATCGTTGCCAGCTTTAATGCTGCTAGTTAATTATGCGCATTTGTGTTGTGGTATGGTGGAATAATCACATAATGCATTGTTTCTTCAGTGAATCTCTGAGGATACTGTTTGGCATTGTTATGCTTTTATTAATTAACTTCATGAATAATAAATTCTGACGTTTAACTGTACTTCATAACGAACTGGTTATTGTAAAAGAACATTATTTTTCCACGAATTCACTAAATACTCATTAACAGTGTAATAAGATTAAACATGAATTAAGTTAGTCACTAATCCCAGTCTTTCAATGTGGTCAGTGATATTTATTCATAGTATCTTTCGGTTTGGAAGACAATATACAATTGTGTAAAAAAAAAATAAACGGATGTAAAGGCTTTCACCTACATTTTTCTCTCATACAGTATTTTTTCCTTCTTTCGAGCCTACCACGAGTGCGAAGCTAAAGTGATTAGGTGAACGCATAATTAGCAGTAATACCACAAGTGGATTTACTGTCGTCGAACATATTCCACTGAGTATAGAACATGCTATTTTGGTTCATCCCAACAACTAGTAGTTAGTCCAGTAAATGTGTTATGTGAAATCAATGTTCATAGCATTATTTTCGCAACCGGAAGATCGGAATTCCCGATGGCTGTCAAAGAACTTGAAAAAAGGTTTGGAACCACGTCGAGGTGGGGTGAGATGGAACGGATGCGCGAAATCGACCTTGTAAAGTCTACACTTTCAACGATACAAACTTGGAACTTGGGCTGAACGCTAGACGAAGAAACATGCAACACATGGGTTTTTAGGTGGAGCTACATAATACCTAGGGTGTTGGTGTGGTGAAACGTTTTGGACCAGTTTCGATGACGTAACTTTAACATCTCAAAATTAGTTCGTGTTGGAAGTCACACCAGAAAGTCTTATTATTATCATCGTTTAGTACGCGTAATGTGCCAATAGCATCAACGAGAGCGTTAATTTTAATTCTCCGGTCGAAACTGAATAAATTTATGTTCATTAATTATAATTACGTACAAGTTTTTTCGAAATAATTACTTTGTGATGTCTAATTAATTCTGAAATCAGCGATTCGTTGAAAACCCGTGCGATAGACTGCGTTAATTATAATCGTTTATTAGTATTTCCTAAGGCATAATGAATGTTTTCTCAGTCATAGTAGACTGCTAACGCGGGTTTAGGTTCGATTTTTTATCTTTTCGTCTATGGTAGACACAGAGACCGATTTAGAAATAGCAACAGCCTTTGAATGGAAGAAACAGGTTTCGCCAACTTCTTTGCGTCAGACAAACAATATCGCCACCTACACGGTCATCATTACAAGTGCATAATAATTGCACAAGGTTGGTCGCGTCCTTGTGCCGTTGACCAAATGGGCCATTGTACGGTCCAAGTCCTAGAACTCTCGTTGTTGGAAATAATTTAAGACAAAATCGCCGACGCCTGCAATTTAATGTACGCAGCTGTGGAATTATATTGTTCAATATTGGCCGGAACCGTTTACTGCAAAGCAAGCGAATGTAAAAGGAAGAGTATGGAAGAGGACTGACGGAGCTTTCGAACTTTTCCCGGTTAAAAATATTTTAATAAATTGAATCTTTTCAGTATTTGGCAATGAATCTTATT